GGGGAGAGGGGGGCTATGTAAGATAAAATTGAAATGGGGAAAAATGAGGGTAATCATGGGATGCCTTAAAAGCTATGAAAGAGCTTTTGGCTTTATTCATTGAAAGAGCCTACAGGGAGTTTGGAGAAATAATTCTTATACTCCAGGAAAAGTGATGTATCTACATATCTTAGGAATCGTAAGGCTATATGTGTAGAAGAGCAGGGGGAAAAGGGAGGGGGGGGGGGGAGAGGGGGGCTATGTAAGATAAAATTGAAATGGGGAAAAATGAGGGTAATCATGGGATGCCTTAAAAGCTATGAAAGAGCTTTTGGCTTTATTCATTGAAAGAGCCTACAGGGAGTTTGGAGAAATAATTCTTATACTTCAGGACTTATTTTCTTATAATAGAAAGCTCACAGAAAATGATATGCAGATACATCACTTTTCCTGGAGTTAGAGTGGAATATGTATTCATATAGGAATTGATTTGACCTCTACTCTAATCTAATGTGTGCTATATGTAGTAAGATGACTTATGATAGGGTTTCAAAGTCTACTTTCAGTGATAAAAAAATATGTTTTTCATTTTCACGCCCTTAAAAGTCCAAAGGTACTCAGCAAACAATTTTGATGGAATTTTCATTATTTCCTTTAAAAGTGATTTTATTTTAATGACATTTTTAGAAAAATAATGGAATAAGCAAGAGAATTTCATGATGTGCTACTTTGATGGTGACAATTGTTTTCGTTATTAAGTTTCCATACATAAGAACAGCTAAACAGAGTAAAGAAAGATGACAAATTAGCAGGATATTTTTTCTTAATTAGGAATAAGAATACAATTGCATATTTGGGGAAAGTAAAAAGTTAAAGCTAAAGCTAAGCAAGCTTAATTTTGTCTCTTTCCTCTCCTGTTGGATTCCCCACTTGCCTATAGGGGCAAAGGTTATAAGCCCCTATGGGATGACACTTAAAATGCTTATGTACCTTGGCAATTATTTTTCATGGTGAGTCATTAGAGGGAAACTTTGTCATAGTAGAGTCGGTTTCTGCCAGGTGAGGATTAGACATGGCTGCTCTGTGTTCACATTCTCTATAGAGTTAGGATTCTTTTATACAAGGGGAGGGGGTGTAGTGTTTTGACAAGTATAGTGAGTTGGTGTCTTGTTTCCACAATGAGCATCTATTTTGCACCAAATTGTTGGGTAGCAAATGTGCATCCTATTTTTCCCCAGCCTACCTCAGGTCCCCTCAGGCATCACAGCCTGCTCTCATGCTCACATAGGTCTCCACTCCTCCCCTGTGAGCTGTCCTTAGAACCTGGTGTGTTTGCTTTGCTTCTTAGAATGTTGTCTTCAGACCTCCTAAATCTGAGTGACCAGAAGAATTTGTTCAAATGCAGACTCTCTGGGCCCTGATTCCAGAATGGGGTCTAGGAATCTGTACTTTTCACAACCTCCTCAGAGGTTTTTTTAATGAGCCTCAACTTTGAAAGGCTCTGTTCATGACTCAAATGCAAAGCTGAAAGTCCAAAGACTCAAATCCTATCTCACCAATATTCAGCAATGGTGTACATTGCTTTGAGTTGGTATGCCTCATTTTTCTTATTGGAGATAGGCTTATAAACGAGCACTGTGAATTTTCTAACACTAATGATCTATATGCTAAGTTAGGCTGTGGAACACTCTCCTTTAGCCCTCCTCCATTTCCCTTTCTACACCACTCCCTAATCCAGTGGTTCTCAGTGTGTAACCTGAGAACAGCACCATCAGTATCACCTGGGAACTTATTAGAAATGCGTGTTTTTAGACCCCACTCGAGTCCTTCTGAGCTTGGAACTCTGGGACTGTGGCACACCCTCCAGATGATTTTGATACATGCTAAAGTTGAAGAACCACTGATCTAGTCAGTTCCTTTCTTTCCATCTCAGTGCCTACTGTTAGGAAAAAATGGAATCTGTCAAATTAATCCACATTGAGTTTTAAGGATATTTGTATTTCAGTAGAAAATCCTGGTGAGAGAGTGTTCAACCCACAGAAATAAAGTACTAATAGGAGAATTTATGTTATTATGGCTCCTAGAAGGAAAGTATATTTTGATGAGAGGTTGCTTGAGGGTGCCAGTGAGCAATTGTATGCTCTATACTTAATGTACACCTGAAGGTATCCTGTTTCCAGTACCTATTTCTGTGTAGATACATCAGAACATACCTATACTATATCACCCTTCCTTGTTCTCTTCTCGATAGGGAAACAATTAATGGATAAACTAATCCATGATGATGTACAATTATTTTACTGACCCTAAGTAGCTTCTGATTTCACAGCAGTCTTCTGGAGAAGATCTCTTAATCCCATGTGTTGGAAAAATCTAGATAACATGGTAGATTGATGAGATAGAAAGAGAGATTCCATTAAGTTTGCTCTATCTCCTCATGACTCTGATCTTTTTTTTTTTTTCCTTCAAAGCAGAGTTTAGAATTGTTTCTGGAATATTTACCTTTAAACAACGAGTAAAAAGAAATTTGATTGCTGTATAACCTTATTTGAAGGGCAGTTAAGAAGTACTAAATTTACTCTGAAATTTATAGGAATGCATATTTCTGCTCAGTATAAGGAAAACTTTTCTAGGAACTAAAGCTGTTCATCTGTAAAACTCAATCGTGGGTATTAAGAGCACATTCTTTGAAAGCAAAAGGAACTGAATTCATATTAGTTCTTTGACCTTGAACGAATTAGTAAGTGTTCTGAACCTCAGTTGTCTAAAAAAATGATGATAATGTCTTCTTCATAGGGTTATTATGAAGATTAAGTGAGATAATTGTGAAGTACTTAGCACAATGACCACACAATGAACACTTAGAAATGGTAGCTCTTATTTTTGTAGTGTCAAGAAGCTGAATCACTACCTTGCAGAGACGCTATAGAAGGTGGGATGAAAAAACTGCTAATGTCTATTTCAAATCTATGAATCTTACACCCTAGAAAACTATACATTCTGTAACTCCTCCATTTTGATGAAAAACATATTTGGGAAATAATTAAATAGGAAAAAAAAACCCTTCCTCAGTGAAATTTTAAGATGCATTTTAGCTGGCTGATTTTTGCAGGGATTCATAAAACAATCCTAAATTCTCCTGAGTAATAATTTTTTTCCCATCATGAGACACTTCCATTCTTAAAGCACACTTTCTTTGATGATATATGCATCTCTTACAGCAAAATTCAGACATGGGTGTGCATTCACTCTCACACACATCTATCTAGGTCACTTATGAATCTCGTGAAGCTCATGGAACACAGTCTGGTTTGGCCTCACGTGCTAACTGGTCTCTGGAAGAGAGTGGTCTTTTTCTTTTTCTAGACTGTTTCAATGTAGTTTTCAGGGACATAGCTTTCTGCTTCCCGTGGGTTAGGTGATAGATAAAAGTTTTTTTGATCTGGCAAGTTATTTCCTGCCATTATTCAAAGAATTTGACATTGGAGGGTTTTCCTTTGTAATTCCTTGACTGAGTTTGAAAAACATCCAGCAAGAATCAGCAATGTTCTAAAAACTTTTAAAGAAGAGATTTTCTCTGGTGTCCTTGGAAAATGTGATTTTAAGTGAACAATGAATGGCTAAAAGTATTTTCAAAAAGTGGGAAAAACACTTTCCTTCTACCTCATAAACAGAGGCTATATTTTCCAAATGAAAACAAGTCTGACACTTTAATCAAATTTTAAATTATTTCATTGCCTTTGTTTAGAAATTTCATATCTCGCTCTTCGTTCTGCGGGCTTTTTGGCAAAACTGGTGAAATAATAAAACTAGAAATGCAACTTCAAAAAGTGAACACTTTTATTTATCACTTGTGACAGTCTTTCTTGACTTCATTCCCAGCCAAATAGATGCACTATTTTTTTATTTTTTATTTTGTTTTTAGATGTTGGGGGTAGGAGTTTAGTAATTTATTTATTTATTTTTGCTGTGTTGGGTCTTCGTTTCTGTGCGAGGGCTTTCTCTAGTTGTGGCAAGCGGGGGCCACTCTTCATCGCGGTGCGTGGGCCTCTCACTGTCGCGGCTTCTCTTGTTGTGGAGCACAGGCCCCAGACGCGCAGGCTCAGTAGTTGTGGCTCACGGGCCTAGTTGCTCCGCGGCATGTGGGATCCTCCCAGACCAGGGCTCGAACCCGTGACCCCTGCATT